GCCCGATGTGACCAAATTAACCGGCGGTCTAGAGAGAAGATTATGCATAGGCGGCTCCGTGTTGCCGTCTGCATCCAACAGGGTCGTCGCTCCTCGAGTGAGATGAGCCGTCATTTCCAAGAATTGGATTTCGTGGCCATTCTCATTTACTACTCGTAGCCTTGCTGGGTCCTTTCTCTCTGTTTTTCCAGCGTATTCCCAAAATGCCCGGGATCTGGCTTGTCTGGGCGCATTCATAATCTGATCGTACATTTTCCGATCTCGGAGGTGGAGCTGTCTGGCTACCTCGGCACGTACTGCGTCTTGTGCAGTTCTGTATCGCTGTCTCGCCTCGTCTACGCCCACTCCGGCGTGTCTCGCTCGTCTCCATTCACGATTCAACGCTCGCCTGTTACTCGTCAGTCGCGATATTTCAGGCACCAGCATTTTTTTGTTCGTGTTTAGGTGGATGAGTTTCGTATTATGGGCTATTGCGGTTTGGAGGGTGTTCATCAGGTTACCATAACTAACCGATCCTGTAACCTGTTCCATGTCAATCGCCTGCAGCTTATCATCACGCCGAAGCCTCACCGCGATGACCGAGAAGGATCTGAATCTTTTGCAGCTCACCGATCTCTTGCGATTAAAATCTGCGACTGTAGTTCGGCATGCCGGTTCCCGTCATAGTACCTGCATTGCTCCGCGAACTGATTTCGGAGACGGGACGAAGAGTGATTCAGGAGAGAAAGTGAACATGGCCCAGAGCAGCGCGGTGACATAATCGTGGACGCGCCGGCCTGCGGGAGAGTTGCCATTTGGAAAGTCGAGCGGGACACTGCTCGAAAATAGCCCCGTTTTTGAAAAAAAAGGTCACCCGAGGCAGAGCTCCTGATCGATTCTCAATCAATCACATCAACAAGCCGATCAGAGAACGAGAGCAATCACCATCCATGGAATCAGTCATCATCTCTTTCTGCTGTTCAAATTCCAATTCATTCTTGGGGACTTAGCCAGATGGACAGAGAATAGGTAGTTAGCCACTCAGGAGCGCGAGCTCGTTGAGGGCGATACTCGGAGGTAGACCACCTGATAACATCCTAGCATTGCCGCGTTGGACCTCAACAGAGATACGCTGCCTTATGAAAGACATCGCTCGGCTATCGCCTCCCCTGGCGACTATGCGCTTGCCGATCTCTTTTATCATCTTGAGAGCGTCCTCGCCCCATACCCCCGCGGTGTCAATGACGAATGGAGAAAGACTGTATTCATCCAGCAATGTTTCATACTTGGACTTTTTGTAAAGTTCCCCCCGCGCAACGACGGCTCTGGCGTTACGGGAAATCCTGGCTGATCAAGACGAAGTCGTCCAAGTAGCCAAGTGACACTGCGCTACGGAGCGAGCCCAACGTGCTATGGACCGCCAAACAGAACAGGAGCGGTGAGAAGACGTCTCCCTGCTGGCATCCTGTCAGTGATTGAATGACAGCGTTGCCGGAGGCGATAATTGGGGTCGGAATTCGGTAAGCCTGAGCGACCATAGGGTATATCTCGGGGAAGTGTTAGTGCACTCGTTTGAGCATCGTGTCGCGGCGATGACTATTGAAGAAATTCTTGAAGTCAATCTTCAGCATGAAGGCTCTACTCACATCCGCGAGGTATGTGCGTGTCGCATGAACGGCGACTTCGGCACCGCCTTTCACCGCGAAGCCAAGTTGTCTCGGGCCCAGGTAGGCGGAGGCGGCTCCCCGCACCCGCGTCAGGAGCACCTTGGCCGTGAGGCGTCTCAAGGTGCTGCCAATTGCGATGGGTCTCAAGCCTCCCGACTGCTTAGCAGCGGCAACTAACCAGGAACCGAAAACCAT